ATTAAAAAATGCTGCTTCCAAAATTGTTGCAGTGCTGTCTGAGGTGTTAAGCTAGTGCTGCTGTTTTCGAATACCAGAGCTGCATCCATCACCAGAATAAAGGGTGGAATTTGGCATTGTTACCAATTAAGTTTATGACAAATTATTCAAACATTTTTTAGAGATGAATGCACACGTACTTCTGAGGGCTGTGAAAGACTCCTAACTGAAAATAAACTTTATCAATTTCTTTCTAAATGCATCGGTGTGGCCCTGTTCCCTTATCCCTGCAGAAAGCTTCCTTTTTATCCAAGAAGAGATATCTTTCGGGAAAGACATCTAGTAAGAGCTCTTGCACTAATACTCTTTGAAGAGAACACCTCAGCCTTTGAGTTTTGACTGCATCCCTCAGTACTTAAACATGCTTTCTATCCTAATTTGCTGCCTGTTTACTTGTGATACATGTATTTGCCAGCTTACAGCAAACAAAGCATGCGAACCAGTCAGGATTTCTTTTTGATGGACTGGAAACATAGCTTTGTCTTTGAAAACAGAGGTATGTGTGCATGTATGAACATATATTATGCATAAACAAATAGCAAATATTTCTTCCTAGCTGGTTGACAATCACTTAGCCGAAGAACTGGAAATAAAAGGATTAGCAGTTAGACAAGAAAACATTATAGATACTACTGAGTGTTAACTTGGAGTCTGTTTCTCTTGTTCTATTTAAATGATGAATGAAATAATTCATAGATTAATCATGTTATTACAGCCATGAAAGGTATTAAAATTTGTAAAGTAATCTTAGGTCAAAATACTTTAGTGGTCATTATCAGACAGAAAACATGTATATGCAATGTAATAACAAAGATGATGGAATCAGTAGCAGGCTCTTCTCCAGTTTTATTTCTGCCCTACACACTTTTTTTCTATTAAAAGTTACTTCTGTTTCATGTATACATGGGTTCTTATAAATTTTCTTGCAGGATTTCCTGGAAATCCTCACTAGTATTTAACATACATTTTGCCTACAGAGGCTTCTGTCTTTTACTGCCTTCTGTCAGTGCTGCATTTGATAAATGAAATTAATTAATCACTTCTTAGAATATTGTTTTTCATATTTCATCAATGTTGTTATTAAAAAGTCTCTCCATTTAAAGTTCTTTTCCAACCTAGCTGATTCATAGAATCATAGAATAGTTAGGGTTGGAAAGGACCTTAAGATCTTCTAGCTCCAACCCCCTTGCTGTGGGCAGGGGCACCCCACACTAAACCATGCCACCCAAGGCTCTGTCCAACCTTCCAGGGATGGAGCATTCACAACTTCCTTGGGCAACCCATTCCAGTGCCTCACCATCCTAACAGGAAAGAATTTCTTCCTTATATCCAGTCTAAACTTCCCCTGTTTTAAGTTTCAACCCTTTACCCCTTGTCCTATCACTACAGTCCCTAATAAATAGTCTCTCCCCAGCACCCTTATAGGCCTCCTTCAGATAGTGGAAGGCTGCTATGAGGTCTCCACACAGCCTTCTCTTCTCCAGGCTGAACAGCCCCAACTTCCTCAGCCTGTCTTCATATGGGAGGTGCTCCAGTCCCCTGATCATCTTCGTGGCCCTCCTCTGGACTTGTTCCAACAGCTCCATGTCCTTTTTATGTTGGGGACACCAGAACTGCACACAATACTCCAGGTGAGGTCTCACAAGAGCAGAGTAGAGGGGCAGGATCACCTCCTTCAACCTGCTGGTCACGCTCCTTTTGATGCAGCCCAGGATACATTTGGCTTTCTGGGCTGCAAGCGCACACTGAAGCTGTCTCATGTTCACTTTCTCATTGATCAACACCCACAAGTCCTCCTTCTCCGCAGGACTGCTCTGAATCTCTTCTCTGCCCAGCCTGTAGCTGTGCCTGGGATTGCCCCAACCCAGGTGTAGGACCTTGCACTTGGCATGGTTAAACTTCATGAGGTTGGCATCAGTCCACCTCACAAATGTGTCAAGGTCCCTCTGGATGGCATTCCTTCCCTCCAGGGTATCAACCGAACCACACAGCTTGGTGTCATCGGCAAACTTGCTGAGGGCGCACTCAATCCCACTGTCCATGTCAGTGACAAAGATGTTAAACAAGACCGATCCCTGAGGGACACCACTCGTTACTGGTCTCCAGCCGGACATTGAGCCATTGACCACAACTCTTTGTGTGCAGCCATCCAGCCAGTTCTTTATCCCCCGAGTGGTCCATCCATCAAATTGATGACTCTCCAATTTAGAGACAAGGATGTCGTGTGGGACAGTGTCGAATGCTTTGCACAAGTCCAAGTAGATGACATCAACTGCTCTACCCCTGTCCATCAGTTCTGTAGCCCCATCGTAGAAGACCACCAAATTGGTCAGGCAGGATTTCCCCTTAATGAAGCCATGCTGGCTGTCACCAAGCACCTTGTTGTTTTTCATGTGCCTTAGCATGCCTTCCAGGAGAATCTGCTCCAAGATTTTGCCAGGCACAGAGATGAGAGTGACTGGTCTGTAATTCCCCGGGTCATCCATTTTCCCCTTCTTGAAAATGGGGGTTATATTTCCCTTTTTCCAATCATCAGGAACTTCACCTGTCTGCCATGATTTTTCAAATATGTCATAGTTGATTTTTTTAATATGTCATATTTGATTCTATTATTCTGTGATTTTTAACATGCCTTTCCAAAATTGCTTTAAATCCTGTTGCACTCCACTGGACTTGTTCCAGTTTGTTTTTCAAAACACAGTGCTGAATATGGAATATACTTTCTCTGGCTGAGGCATAACCAGTTCTGAGATGATGGGAATAATGTCTTGCTTTTGGGGAAGGAAATCTGCTGCAGTCCTTTGAAGGAGCTTTGTGTAAAGTCGGTAGGAGCTGTTGATGTGATATATAGTGTATAGTTTAAATATCTTTTTGCCTTTCGAAAGCCTGCCTTTCTCCAACTGACTGCTCTGATTGGTACTTAAATGCTGCAATTTGCAGTAGCTATATAAATCACCTGTCTGTTATGAATGGCATTTAATAGTAGGGAGCATGAATATGTTGAGTTCTTGCTTGTTTGCACACTGCTGTCTGCAATGTTCTATCTATACAAATTCCATTGCTATTGGTTTTGTTCTCATGTGGGTTTTTTTTGAGTTGTATATTAAAGTGCTGAATGTTGATGGAATGCATGAATGTTTGACTGGTTAAGGTTGACATTGATACTATAAATACAAAAGATGCCCAACTATGTTATTTCTTTCTTAATAAATAAAACAGCCCAAACCCACTTGCAGTAAAAAGATATTTAGTTCTTTTACCACATACGAATATTGGACAATAATTTATCCAGATCTGTGTGCTTACATTGTGATAGTGGCAGTTTAAACTAGAGTCACCAGTAAGAACTTGGAAATTAATTTGTTAAATTTTGGAAGATGTGATTGAAGTGAAGTATTTCTTGGGGGTGATTTTCAGCACTGGATATCAGGTGAAGTGTCTCCTTCTGAGATTCTAATACTTGACTTTGGAGAGTTCCTCCAAACCCTTTGAATTCTTTCTCTGAGTATGTGCTTTCACAGTAATAAAATTTTCTCTAGCCTAAAGTTTATTTTAACTGAAGTCATTTAACTTTATGAACATTTTCACATTCTGTAAAACTTAAAGGTTTTTTTTGATCATCGTTCACTTGTATATCAGAAAGATATTTTTCTTTTTAAATACAATATAATATCTTTGTTTAAACAGCCATGTGTATCTTGAATTACTTTCATTAGCTAAGTAACTTATCCTCCATTTTTGTAAAAGGAACTGCAGTTTAACTATAAATATATGAAAATGCCACAGAATTCAGGGCTACAACTCAAAAATGCTGATCAGTTTGTAAAATCTAAATCAGTCCTTCCATGAAACCTAGGGAAGGACCTCTGTGGTAGCAGAAAAATTTCCAGAAATTCACCACAGTCTTTTTCTAAGTTGCAGTTTGTGCTGATGTTGCCAGACAGCTGAGAGATGGGAAAAGCAGGAAATCTGATTTAATCACAGTGCTGATTTGCAAAAGCAATTTAACAATGGAAAATATTTTTATATTTTAAATCATAAAGACAGAACTATGAAGTACATGGTAGATTGCAACTGCATTAAATTGGATTGTTTTCGTTACTAATGAAGTCTTCATTTTTGAATCTGATGGTCAGAAATCCTACTTCCTTGACTACTTTCTGTGTTTGCTTTTATTTTGTCTGTTTGGTTTTTTATTTGTTTTGTTTCCTTGTTTGTTTCATACTTGAGGGCAATAAATACAGCTTTTAAAGTACAATCTTTCTGGTTTCCTGTCTTGGAAAGCTATTTCTACATTTTTTCTTTCAAAAGATTTTTGACAATACTGGCGGGAAGTGCTTATCTTTTCCCTTGAAGATATTAAAATTCTATCATAAAACACCCAATGTTTTCAATTATATTGATAAATAAAAATTGCTTTTTAAGAGACATCTTGTAGTCCTAGCCCTTGCATCTTCCTTGTGAAAAAGTTTTTATTTAGGTCCCTTGATCTTTTTGAAGAACTTGTAAATTAGGAAGACTTCAGGTAACTTATGAAGAGGAGTACTTGAATGAAAGACTGAATACTCATTTCCAAATGAGTAGGTGATGAGGTTATGAAGAGCACATAGATGAGCTATATAGCAGTTGTAATCAAGCAAAAGGTCTCTACTCATCTATAATTTAACTGAAGAACAAATACATGAGTCATTTTGTCATTTGACTTCTAGTTGTTCATAATATCATTGCATTCCTCTTATGAGACTGACCAATGAAATATAGCCATATTCCTGCAGTGTAGAGCATTGTATTACTTCGTACTGCTGGGCTTTCATGATGTGACAACAATGAGTTCTTTTGCCTTGCTTTGCCTTTTAAAGCTAACAACATACCTTTGGTTTTGCAGTTTTTGTTGGTATTTTATGAGTAAATAGGATATAACAATTTAATGTTTTTTTTTTTTTTTTTTTTTTTTAATCAAGATTTCTGCTATATTCTGATACCAATTGAAAAATGGATGACGATGACTTTGGAGGATTTGAGGTATGCTGCTTGGATGACTTTTTAAATATAACTTTTTTCAACTATTTTTAAAGATATTTATAGCGTATTATAAAATACGTATTTTTCTTTTCGTGTGTGCTTCTAGGCAGCAGAGAGTTATGAGTTTGGAAATGGTGAAAAGCAGACTACTTCCCCTGCTATTGCTTGGGCAGCATTTCCTACAGGTATTGATAAAATCACTATAAAAAACTCTTAATAATGTATTGCTGTCTTTCTGTATTCACTGTAAATATTAGTATTCAGAAGGGTGAAAGAATAATTAAACAATGAAAGAATAGGAAGTGGTGAAAACCTAGCATAGTAATGTTTCTGAGTAATTATTTTGGGAAGCTGCACAGAGTTAAAGTTTCTTGAGCAATGAAAGAGAAGTACATTTTATCCAGTTCAAAGGCTGATTGGCATCTCATGGGAAGAAGAAACAGAACTTTGTCACTCAAATGGTATTTCTGCTTTTGAGTATGGAAGGTCTGTTGCAAATGAATGGAAAACATACAAAAAGTAAACTTAAAAGTAGGGCTTAAACATGTTTCTTCCTCCATTATGTTTCTTTGATTGTGCTGAAGTCTTTTAGTTGGTTGGGGGGAGGATCATCTTTTTTTATTTAAATTTTTAAAGTTAGAAAATGTATTAGACAGCCTTTATCTCACGCAGAAGCTGAAACATTATGGTGCTATTTTTTTAATTCATAGAAATGCCCAGTGAGTGTCTGGATTTTAAGAAATTAATAAAAGGTCATTGATAGTGGATAAATGTACAGTATCAGCAGCACTAAAAGACTGAGGAGGTGTTAATTGCCAGTTGATCTTTGTTCTGAGAATTTAGTCTCAGTTTCACTACTTTTGCAGAAAGAAGCATTGCTTTAGTAGCATTGAATAAAAAAGCCCCACACATTTTATTCTTTGGTCAGGAACTAAAGATTTCTAACTCTTATTATATAATTATGCTGAATAAATTAAGCAAAATAATTGTAATTTTAAAAATAAGACAAGGGTTTGTGTCAATACGAAATCCCCATAAATCAGAATCTTCAAATGGTTTGTTTATTTCTGGTGCTACTGGATTTCATCCATTCCAGAATAGTTTTATTTGTTGCCAAAATAAAAGTAAACTAATAAAAACCAAGTAAGATTTGCAAGAGGTAGCAGGATCGATGCCCGCATTCTCCAACCTAACTGATTCTGTGATTCTATGAAAATAAGGAAACTGTATTTTCCCAAATAACTTTATTATTCATTTTGTCATTTTGACTGTCGTTACTCAAAAATCCGTAAATCCATTATCATATTTGAATGTGTTTAAATTAAATCCAATATAGCTGTGTGGTGCCTGTCTCATGAAGTCTAATTTATATCTAGTGAGGCACGTACAATTTAAATTGTTTGGAAGTAATGTGGAAGTTTTTTGTATGATTTGTGAGTGACACAGAAGTCTTGGCTTAAGTTGTAGCAAGATATTTAAAAGAAAACTCCTTGCATTCAGAATATCTCACTAATGTGAAACCGTTTATGTGATTTTTCCATGCAAATGTTGCTGTGAATAATTTAACTTATTGCAAGGGGCAAGATATTAATAGCATCAATCAAAATGCTTGTTAGGCATTGACTTGTAAGTTAATGTTTGTCTGCCCAATGTTATTTACATTTATATATAAATTGTTCTTGTCTTACCCTAGCAATTTTTCAGTCAGTAAAGTTTGCTGAAAAATGTAAGAAACTCAAATGTATTACGGTGCTATCAAGTGTGATACCATTATATACACCCAAGATATGGTGAACTTTATGGAGTCATAAATTTTCTGCATCCTTAATATTTGTAAGATGTAGAGTTACAAAGCAACACTGTAACCTGTTGCAGTATTTCTCAGCATGAAAGAAAAAATCAGATATTATTTCTAGAGCCACAGTGTTTATTACAGTGAGGAATTTTGCCCTTTAATTTTGTCTTGAGCTTCTTGCTATCTATTTGAAAGTTGATTTCACTTTTTCAATAAGCTTAAAGCATGATAGAATGTTTATTGGTATGTGCAAATAGTTTTTTTTCTGTGCATTTTTCTGTGCACTCCAAATCGAAAAATGTTTTTTAATTGTGGTTGGTGCTTCAGAAGGCGAGAAAAATTAGAATTTATACAGCAGAAATATACCGTTCTTTCCCCTTCCACTAGGACAACTACCAGAAAGCATGCACCTCTATTCCATTATGTTTATCTAGCAGTGTCACCTAATAGAAAAATTTTATTCTGGTTTTATTCTAAATGATAATTAGAAAAATCTTTACTTTTTAATCTTTCATGGTTTCAAGTTTTAATTGGAACCCATTATATAAAATGCCGTATAAACATTGAAACAGAGAGTAGGGCTGGTCCAAACACATCAGCTCTGTGAGATAGTATGCATTATGAGTATGGAGGAATGAGGAAGTAGTGAAAGAAAAATAACAGGTGTGTAGTGGGGTTACTTAGATGTCTTTGCTACTACTGTTAGCAAAGTCCAAAGAACCAGCTGCTATTTTGGGTCTATTCCTTCTGATTGCTTATCTGCGATAGAAATGAGCAATCCTTCTTACTTAGTGTCATTATCTTTGTGATGGATTTCCTTTTTTCTGTCCAGCCTTAATATGAAAGTGCTAAGAAGAATCACTGTTTTACACCCATCATCTGGACTTTGTAGAGGTGTGAGGGAACTACTCAGACATCACTGTTTTCTTAGCTTGTGTTTGTAAAGTTCAAAGAGAGCCAACCAACAAAACACTTCAAGAATAAAAAGTTGATCTTTGGAAAGATGAGATCTGTCTATGAACAGTGACAGAGTATGAAGCCATATGTTTAATCCTCAGATTTAAACATCATTCAGAACTAACACAAAAATAAGTTTTTAAGAATTCTAAAATAAATTATGGAATATTCTAGTGTCTTATCACTGGTCCTCCTGGATAGCAGAAGAATTTAAGAGGCTGTCTGTATTAATTATTATGAGTGATGTCAGTTCTCATTTCAATAAGCATGCACTGGAGTATTGAAGTGCCTGTTTTTATTTTTAATTTGCATGGCTTGAAAGGTGCTGTTTTCAGCTGTTTTATTGAAATAGTTGTTTTCAGTTCTTTTCATTTTTTTTTTTTTTTTTCTGCAGAATACTAACATCTTGATTTGGGAGGGGTAATGGAGGGGTGGAAAATAGTAGGAAACTAAAATATCCATAAGGAGATGGAGGAAACTCGTTTCATTCTTTGCCATGATTGGACAGGTTCAGAGGTCTTTGTTGAGAATGAAATACAGCCTCATTTAACTCTGGAAAGGTCATTTTCTTTTGCTAACATTTGCATTACTTGGAGTATACGGCTTTACAAATGAGTTGGGTAACTTTTCAGATTTGACGATCTGGAATAGTTAAAAGATTGTCTTGTTGCATGTTTATTAGAATACATATCACCTCCCTCTCTCTCGTCGTTACAGCTGCCAAACTGCTTTAAAAGACAGTTATATTGCCTGAATATTTTGGCAGTTTTATGGAAACCCAAGTCTTAAAAAACCCAATACATGGCTGATGAGAATGAGTTCTCAGTTTTGTTTGTCTCTGTTATGTTGTGTAGTCATTGAATACTGAAAGATTTGGTTTTGAGGTTCAACTAGATGGTTGCTGTATTGTAAACTCTTGGTAGCTGTATATAAGTTCTACTTTAATAAGAAGTTAGGAAATAAAATTAGTATTTCCATATGGCCTTCGATTTATGTTGCTGCAATATTGAATGTAATTACTTATTTTCTGGAGTAGTTTGGCTTTGGAAGATTAAAATATGGGGAAGAACTTTCTGCTGTGAACTACAACAAATCATCTTGAAAGTACATTAAAGTGTTGTTTCTTTCCTTTGTGTATATTGTTGTAAACCGGTGTGTGTAAAGAAGTAGCCAAATGTTTCCTATTGGTAGGAGGACATTCATGCTTGTTGAAGTCAACAGAGAACTTCTTGTCACCTTATGTAGGCATGTACTTGTTGATTCTAATGCCATAACAGATGTGGAAATGTGCTTCATTCTGGTAAATCAGTGATCTGCAAATACAGTGATTGAAAGTGTTGGTTTTGGAAAGGGAAAGATTGGGAAATTTGCTTAAGGGAAAAAAAGGGAAAATCGCTAAGGAAACTACTAAAGCTCCTACAGCTTTGCAGATACTATGCATGCCATCTGAGACGCAACATTTATTATTGGCATATTGGGTGTCAATTGATATCTATTAATGTATCCCTCTACTCATTCTTCAAGCAATTTAACCCTTTCTAGTAGTTCTCCATTTACATTGAGCAAAAAGCAGTGTAAGTACTGAAAATACTTTGTCTGATTGGGATTATATTTATTAGTTGATGCTTTTTCGTTTCATAGGAAAAGAAGAATTTTTAACAGATTCTGCTGCTCTTCCTTCATAAATTGTTTTTCACTGATTTTAATGATTAATTTTAATGAGTGTTACGTATGTCTTTTAGAATGCACGTGACATATTCTGTTTTGTGCTATTTTGCTGTGTATTGGCAAAGTAAACTGGTTGATATTTGTAAACCTGGTAATTTTCAGTTTATTTTTCCCTAAGATGTTTATTCAGCATTATGCAGGCTGTAGATCCCTGTGTTCTAGCTCTGACATTACAGCTGACAGAAATTCCTGCCTTGTAGAATACAGTTTTCTGTCTCTTACAGTTGTGCTTGAGCAACTGTGTGGCCCTGGGATTTAAGCAGATCAGTGAAATTTGGATACACAAACCCAGTCTATATGAATGTTAGTTTTAACTGAAAATGTTCAGTGGTACAATTTACAGTGTGTACAGTATAATTTAAAGGCTCATTGAATTCTGTCATCAAAGACATGGGTAGTTGAGGATAGAAATACAGTTTTTGTCTCCAGTGGTTTTTTATTTTTAACAGCTGAAACCTGCATGTGGGAGAAGTGTACTACAAGTAGTTTGCAACGTTCCAGAAAAGTATGTGAAAGAATTATTTTATGGTCTGTTGCTCATGGCTCTGATGGCATATCATCTGTTAATTGCTGGATATAAATAACATCCAATCAGTAAATGTTACTCATGTTTATTTGTTCAGTGGTAGATTTCATATCTAATGTCTTCAGTCTGAAGCTCAGTATAAAGTATGGAATGTGATCTAATAGTTCATGTTCATCCGTATTTTGTTTTCAGAATTTCTGATTCCCCATGATTTTAATAATTGTTTGAGCTTCATTACTAAGATAAAGATACAGATTTTTTTCTTGTGTGAGCAAGATTCCAGGCTGTTACTGATCTCTTCTATTGGTTTGGTCAGTTCTTAACATACAAACCTATTACAGAGTATTCTTAATACTGGGAAATCAATAGTGTATGACTGTGTATCATAGCAGGTGGTGCAGCAGTTGGAGAGGATTTGTAAGTGGTGCTGAGAAGCCAATATTCATACTACATGTGCTTCAGGAGTTTTATTTCAGACTAGTGTTATCTTGGTGCTGTGGACTTGAATGTCCATTAGTTGTTGGAGTCCAGTCAGACATTTTTATCAGAGGCAAGTTTTCATTTTGGGAGTTCTGAAACTGTTCCATTATGATAACTAAAGCATGGCAAGCAGGAAATGATGGAGGGGTCATCTTCAAAGCCAAGTTTTGAGTTGAACTAAAATGCTAATGCAATTTCACCAATATATACACAAGAGGAATGAATTAAGTGAGCTTGAATTACAGACATAGAATTGCATGTAATTCTAGGAATGTCTAATTTATGAATCCTGAGCACTGCTGAAAGTGAAAAGAAGGTTTTGTGAAAAAGATGTTTGAATGATACCTTGGAGCGTTGCTGCCTTTTCTTGTCTTCTGCAAGATCATGTATTTAGCTGAATAATTTTATACCATGGCATTCAGAGGTGGTCACCAATTGTTGCTCTTCATTTCCCAGACTTTATTTTGCCAACTTCAGAGGTGGGTTTTTGTTTCTGCTTTTTCTTCCCCCTCAAAATGTGAAGCATTCATTACAATAACTGGAATCACTGAAAGCTTGATTCCACATAAAACTGTACTATCTAAAAAATAAAGTCTTATATCTAGTATGGATGCCGCTGAATATATGAATACCTTAAGTTTTAGTCTCTGTGAGTCTCCATTCCTCATCTGCATCCAGACTCAGTTTCTAGTTTTATTTCTGTGATAAATTATTTGAATGTGAACTATGCTATGGTCATCATCACCAAAGGATGAATGCTAACACCACAAAGATCAGTGTCATGCTAGTTTTGTCACTGTGAGTTGATGGTTTTAGGAAAAGAAACAACTTGTCTGCTCAGTCAGAATTGCCTGGTGCATTATTTTAGTTGGTTTTCCCTCTGTTGGAAATTGATTTCAAACTAAAATTCAGGATATTAAATGATAGCATAGAACAGAGACATAATTGGTGTTTCTAGAAGCAAAAAGGTTATCTTCTCTATCATCTCACTGCTATTTGAACTATCAGAGTATGTAACGGTTAGAGGAAGCTGCTTTGTAGGGGGAGGAGGGGAGCACAGCCTCAGATGTCCACTTTCCAATTCTGGAGAAGAGTTTGCTGTTAAAGATACAGTTGTGTCACCATACTTAGTTTTGTCCTGTTTACCTAAACTGGTTCCTGTTCTGTTTGCTGAAATACTGCCCTATAGGATTTTCATCCAAGTATCCAGAATCTGCTCAACTGTGTTTTTCCTCACCTGTTTTCTCCATGTTCAAATCTACTACTGCTGCAATTAGCATACTGTCTTGTGGTCTATTTCCTTTCTTCTTTTTCTTAGATGAGGTTTGTGTGTTCCTCTCTGTTAATTTGAATCCCAGAACTGGGAGATAAAGAAGATGGGACTCGGAGCATCTGGATTCAAGGATTAGTGTGTCCTTCTGAATGCTTTTAGGTCAACATACACACTTATTTGCACTGTGTTATGCATACTTCTGCAGTATTAAAGAGATATTGACAGGCTCAGCCTTGCTTCAGGCTAATGGAATCTCTTACGTTTGACCAGATTTGTAACAATAATGTGAACTGCTTTTTCTAAAGCAATTGGACATACCTATTTGTCTACTGCGAGTAGCTATATGAAAAGTTGCAGGGCATTGATATTAAATTAAAAATGTAGATTCATAGAATCACAAAATAGTTAGGGCTGGAAAGGAACTTAAGATCATCCAGTTCCAACCCCCTTACCATGGGCAGGGACACCTCACATTAAACCACCTCACCCAAGGCTTTGTCTGCCCCACCAGGGATGGAGCATTCACAGCTTCCTTGGGCAACACATTCCAATGCCTCACCACCCTCACAGGAAAGAACTTCTTCCTTATATCCAGTCTAAACTTCCCCTGTTTAAGTTTTAACCCGTTACCCCTTGTCCTATCACTACAGTCCCTCATGAAGAGTCCCTCCCCAGCATCCTTATAGGCCCACTTCAGATACTGGAAGGCTGCTATGAGGTCTCCACACAGTCTTCTCTTCCCTCAGGCTTCCCCAACTTCCTCAGCCTGTCTTCATACGGGAGGTGCTCCAGTCCCCTGATCATCCTCGTGGCCCTCCTCTGGACTTGTTCCAACAGTTCTATGTCCTTTCAATGTTGAGGACACCAGAACTGCACACAATACTCCCAAGTGAGGTCTCACAAGAGCAGAGTAAAGGGGCAGGATCACCTCCTTCAACCTGCTGGTCACGCCCCTTTTGATGCAGCCCAGGATACAGTTGGTTTTCTGGGCTGCAAGCACACACTGTCGGCTCATGTTCATTTTCTCATTGACCAACACCCACAAGTCCTTCTCTGCAGGACTGCTCTGAATCTCTTCTCTGCCCAACCTGTAGCTGTGCCTGGGATTATCCAGACGCAGGTATCAGACTTTGCACTTGTTATGGTTAAATTTCATGAGGTTGGCATCAGCCCGCCTCACAAGCGTGTCGAGGTCCCTCTGGATGGCATTCCTTCCCTCCAGGGTATCAACCGAACCACACAACTTGGTGTCATCGGCAAACTTGCTGAGGGTGCACTCAATCCCAATGTCCATGTCACTGACCTATCATGTTAAACAAGACTGGTGCCTACACCAACCCCTGAGGGACACCACTCGTTACTGGTCTCCATCTGGACATTAAGCCATTGACCACAACTCTTTGCGTGCGGCCATCCAGCCAGTTCTTTATCCACGGAGTGGTTCACCTATCAAATTGATGTCTCTCAAATTTAGAGACAAGGATGTCAGTGTCGATCGCTTTGCATATGTCCAGGAAGATGACATCAACTGCTCTACCCCTGTCCATCAGTTCCATAGCCCCATCATAGAAGACCACCAAATTGGTCAGGCAGGGTTTCCCCTTAGTGAAGCCATGCTGGCTGTCACCAAGCACCTTGTTGTTTTTCTTGTGCCTTAGCATGCCATCCAGGAGAATCTGCTCCAAGATTTTGCCAGGTACAGAGATGAGACTGACTGGTCTGTAATTCCCCGGGTCATCCATTTTCCCCTTCTTGAAAATGGGGGTTATATTTCCCTTTTTCCAGTAATCGGGAACTTGACCTGACTGCCGAGAATTTTCAGATACAATGGACAGGGGCTGCGAAACTTCATTCACCAGCTCCTTCAGGGCCCGCGGATGGATCTCATCAGGACCCATGGACTTGTGCACGTTCAGGTTCTTAAGATGGTCTTGAACCAGATCCTCTCCTACAGTGGGCTTATTCTCACTGTCTCTGCATCTGCTTTCCAAGACTTGGGTGGTGTGGTCAGAGCATTTGTCAGTGAAGACTGAGGCAAAGAAGTCATTAAGAAACTCAGCCAATTCCTCCGAAGAGGAATCTTCTGGAGAGGGCCCACATTGTCTCTATTCTGTCTTTTGTTTGCTATGTACCTACAGAATCCCTTCCTGTTACCCTTACATCCCTAGCCAAGTTTAATTCTAACTGGGCCTTAACTTTCCTAACCTGGTCCCTAGCTTCCCGGACAACATCCCTGTATTCTTCCCAGGCCGCCTGTCCTTGCTTCCATGTTTTATAAGCCTCTTTTTTTCCCTCTGAATTTCCTCAGCAGCTCCGTATCTATCCAAGGAGGTCTCCTGGCCCTCCTGCTGCACTTTCTTCCAGTTGGGGCGCAACACTTCTGATCTTGTAGCAGGTCATCCTTGAATATCAACTAACACTCTTGGGCCCTCCGGCCCTCTAGGGTGTATCGCATGGATCCTTACTAAGCAGGTCCCTGAAGAGGCCCAAATGTGTGCAAAGTTTTCTCTTTTTATTTATTTTATGTCTGAATCTTTTATAAAAGTGCTAAAGTTTCTGTTGTGCTGAGTTGTTAGTTATGATTGACTGTTCAGGATTTTTATGGCATAACTGGAAATTGCTGTGGAAGAGCTCTCACTTCAGTATTAATTACACTTACGTTTTATTAGCTAGAGAGTTATTTACTTTATCTTTTGAGCTCTTATAAAAGGTAAATCTGCTTTTATCATGTGTCTTGGTAAGCTGTTTGTATGTGTCTTCAAAGACAGTTGAGGTTTTTTACCTTTAAAATTTCAAACCTTAGGAAATTTTAAGTACCTTTTTGCAGTTGACCTAAACTGATCAAAGATTGTGCCTAAGCTGAAAGGTTATGTGAATGCAAAAAGACAAAAGTTAAAATTGATGCTTTTGATGGAAATTGTTTTGTGAAACCTCTGTGTAAGTTACAAATCTAAATTTAGTGTGACTGTACAGTTTCAAATATCCTTAAGTTGATGGTTCTCAAAATTATATGAACTGTGCAAGTAGATTGTAAGAGGTACATAACCTTATATTAATATGACTATACTTGTTGCTAGTGTGATGGATTTTGGTAAGTATAGGTTTCAGAGCCAGAAGTATTTTTTTTAATGCTTCTTTGTATTTTGTTCTGTGTTCTGTTTTTATTTCTTGCATTAGTATCTGAAGTCCATATATCTCCTGATGTTCTCCTGGAGCACTCCGTGCTGTCTTCCTGTCTGGTTCCTACTGACTCATTCAGTTTATCGAGTGATAATGTGGCAAAAGCTATTAAAACAGCCACCAATGTTACAAACCCTGCTGTTCCTGAAGAACAGGTAAAACCACAATTTTTGTGTTTCAGTAGAGGAACAGTATGTATTAAATATCTTAGCATTGTATCTTTTCTGTGCAAGAGTTGCCCTTTAAGAGCATAAGGTCTTTGGTGTCTTGTAGTACAGACTTTGAAGTAAAATAATTTTAGATTATGTTTAAATCCTATCGCTGCAAGGCACCATAGTAATTTGGTATAGACTGCAAGAGGATCTGTGTTAAAGTTACTAAAAGTTAAAGGCATGCTGATACTGCTAGACATGAAATTAGGAAACAATAGCAGGAAGGGTCTCTAAAAAGACTACGTTATTGGTAAACCTGTAATGATTATGGCTGTACATATATGTCATACTTTCTCAAGTGGTTTTAGGTCTAAAGAATTAACTTTTAATATTTACATAATTATTATGAAATTAATTTTATTTATATTACTATATTTTACTTCTCCTCCTCCCCCATTACATTTAAAGGTTTTTTTTTGTGATCTGACAGCCCTAGTTATGTGATCTTGATCTCTCTTAGTGGATGCAATACTGCTGAGAACTGATCTTAGCTTCTTTGGTGGGGGTGAAAGTGTTTTATTTTTAACTAAACAGATGAGCAAGGGAGGGAAAATATTTTCTGTGTGGAGATTAGCACACAAAAGCTATATTTCTGTGGATGAGAATTAAATAGATTTACCCTTCCAAGTGAATTTTTATTGCCACTGATTTCAGTGACACCTATTTAAACAAGTTTATTGATTGTAAAATTCCTTCTTTTGGGGTGCATAGTAGTATATACTTGAGTTAGAAAGTGCTCTTGTCTTTCTCTGAAACAATCAATATTTTTGGCAGTTTGCAACCCTCTCATTATCAGCACTTACTTGGTTTCTTATTCTTCACAATTAAGTCAGATTTCCGTAGTCTGACCATTTACAAGCATTTGTCTAGTGCTATTTTAAAAACTTGTACAAATACTTCTTTTGATTGAACTGACTCTTACTGGTTTTCTTTTGAGCAGTATCTGTGTGTTTGCGCCTTCAGAAAGACTGTGGTTAGTACAGCTCCAGTAGTTCAGTCTTAGTAATGAATTTGTTACTGGTTTGTATCTGTTCCCAGCCTAATGTTGTGGGGAAAGCCTATAAAAAGTGAAGAGAATATGTGCCCAAATGCAAATGATACCAGAGGAAATTTCTTAGAAACCTGAAAGTTGGGTTGTTTTTCTCTTGAGAGGGAGGGAGTGTTTGTTTTCTTTCTTGACTGATGCCAGCCAGGGTCATTTTCTGTGTTGAAAGCTCTTCATCTGCCTCTCTGACAATGTTTTGATAAGTAAATTTCTATTACTGGCAGGATGATCAAAATATGCTTTTCTTCAGCAACAACAGATCCTATCCTTGATTTTGGCTAACAGTGAAATGTGAATAACCTGTACACTTTCTTGTTTGAGCTAGGCCAGCTGCTTTAGCTTGTGTGTTCTCTGGAAAGAGCACTTTGGATATTCCAGAATACTAAGGCCTAAGTGTATTTTTTTTAAGCTAAAAATAATTTGGTTAGGTAGTCTTACTAAAAATAAGACATACATTTTATTACTTCTAAATAAGTATATGTGCAAATTCTAATTGTAGGCTGTGTTTCAATTTTTCTCATCCTGTTCTGGTCAGCTCCTGACAGACCCATAGTTCCATAAACTCTCTTCTTAACGCAGGAGGTAAAGGGAGTTGAGAGGAGGTCCTTTAACATCATTTTAAAATGGAGATCACACTTTCCACTTTTGGATAAAACTAAAGGAAAACAGTGGATGTAAAATTAAAATATTTAAACCTGTTACAGGAGGATGTTAGAACTGTGTTCTAATTGTATCTCCAGAGCCTCTTGAGGTTTCCTGTTGTAAAAAACATCAGTGTTTCAGGTTCAAACATGACAGGTTTTGGCAGTGCCCGACTCTGATCTTCAGTAGTTCTCCAAAGTAGAATTGGCACGTCTAGTTTCTCTGCTTCTTACAGAATGGGATTTCAGAGCAGAAATTGCAGTTTTCTTTCTGGCTGTTTTGCCTACTGGATCTTGTATGTCCATGGACAGTCAAGATCTCAGCTATTTTTGTTTGGGCTTTTTTCAATCTATTATTTGAGTGTCTGTTTGAAATAAAAGGTGTTAAGGTAATGGAGTTGAACCTCTTTTAATAAATACATTGAGATGTTCCTTTCACCACCACCTTCCAAATCTCAAAAGCTATTGGTTTTCAAACTGATGTTAAAAAAAGTGTTTATTTTTGTGCTTTGCAGAAGATACGGGCTTATTACTAATGTTTCGTCTCTTTAGGGTTGTGTATTCTAGAAGCCTCCATTTCAGTTTTAGTACTCTACAGTTCACTGAAATAGCTTTAAATAAATGTTGTAGCTATGTCCCAGTTATTCTTATTCTGTTGGTCTAGCTTCAAGATGAGATTTGTTTTAGTACAAAAAGTTTCTATTCCCTTTCTATGACTACTATTTGCAGTCTGCACTGGGTGAAAACATGGAGTGACTAATCCAAGGAGAGTTTATTTCCACGTAAGTGTGATGCTTTGAAACAGGTGATCCAATTTCACTTCTGTCTCTTTTCACCTCTTTTGAGTGTTTTGGCCTCATTGGAAAGTGAGGTATCTGTGCCATCCTCCTTCTTAAAGCCTTCTCCTGAAGTCTGATTAAAAAGCAGTTGAGGATATTGAAAGGATTGATGTGAATCCATCTAGAATTACTAGCTACTGTTCCATTGCTGGAGCTTTCTTCTTGGCCACCACATCCTACATAAAAAAGCGTGCGTGGCCAATTTCAGAACAGTGTGGTTTTAAAAAAGTAACCCTAGTATTTTCAGTTTTTAAGTTCTGTAATGTCATCTGGGAATGAAATTTGACTTGACTGGAATGTTAAATTTCCTTTATAATTTCCTTTACATTTTTTTTCTTTTTTTCTTGTGTGAATTAGATTCAAGCAGATATTCCAGTTGTGTCTTTGAATGTAATCGAAGACAACGCTTCAGTTACATCAACCACTGCTTTAGTTGATGCCGAGACACAGAGATCAAATGAACCAAAGAGCTACCTTCATCAAGCTCTTGCAAACCTAAAAATCAAGCTCTGCACTGCTGAAGAAGAAAAATTAAAAATCAAAAAGGTATGAATAGTTTTTTAATAAAAAATGGTTAGCATTTATATAGGATTTAAATATATATGTAGATGGTAAAGATTCACATTGCGTTTTTTGTAGAAATTATCCCAATTCCAGAGAAATCATCCAAATTTAGCCAAAATACTCTCCCCTCCCCCTCCTACTCCCATATCTGATGTCTATTTTAGGCTGAAATTTTCTAAAGTTTCAAGTTCTCCTTTAGAAACTTTTTCGGTGGGGGGAAGAAAGAAAGAAGGAAGGGGAAGGGAAGGGAAGGGAAGGGAAGGGAAGGGAAGGGAAGGGAAGGGAAGGGAAGGGAAGGGAAGGGAAGGGAAGGGAAGGGAGGAAAGGAGATATATTTTTATCATATATTTTTATCATGGAGGCAAGTGGTTAGAAGGTATAGTGATTCCCCATGTTTTGGAAGTGTATGGTCACTGAAGCTCATAGTGTCTTTTCCTATCATTATGAATATAATACAGGACATTTTCTTAATTCTTTTTTCTTTCCTGGGAGCTCTGGTAAAGAAATTCTACATATTCCTTCTGACATTAATATAAGAGTACTAGGCAGGGCTATGCCTGTAGTTATGTGTCCAAAGATCACTGAGGCATTGGAAAGGAAGTTTAATCTCTGCTGTTCTTAATACTGCTCCTTGATAGCTATCAAGGTGTGCTAGGAAATAAAAATGAGGATGAGTAACAAATCAATGATGAGGAGGTCTGGAATGAATTGATTTTATTAGGAATTAACTGTATAGAGGAGATCGGGAAGGGAAGCATGAATGGACTGTAAGAGGACTAGAATTAAACTTGGCTAGGGATGTGAAAGGTAACAGAGAGGGATCCTATAGGTACATAGCAAACAAAAGGCAGACTAGAGACAATGTGGGCCCTCTCCAGAAGATATCAGGAGAACTGGATACCCTGGATTTGGGGAAGGCTAAGGTTCTTAATGACTTCTTTGCCTCAGTCTTCACTGGACAAGGCTCTGACGACACCACCCATGTCTTAGAAGGCAGATGCAGGGACTGTGAGAATGAAGACCTTGGGCCCACTGTAGGAGAGGATCTGGTTCAAGACCATCTTAAAAATATGAACATGCACAAGTCCATGGGACCTGATGAGATCCATCCGCGGGTCCTGAAGGAGCTGGCGACTGAAGTTGCGAAGCCACTGGCCATCATATTTGAAAATTCTTGGCAGTCAGGTAAAGTTCCCGATGATTGGAAAAAGGGAAATATAACCCCCATTTTCAAGAAGGGGAAAATGGATGACCCGGGGAATTACAGACCAGTCAGTGTCACCTCTGTGCCTGGCAAAATCTTGGAGCAGATTCTCCTGGAAGGCATGCTAATGCAAAAGAAAAACAACAAGGTGGTTGATGACAGCCAGCATGGCTTCACTAAGGGGAAATCCTGCCTGACCAATGTGGTGGCCTTCTATGATGGGGCTACAGAACTGATGGACAGGGGTAGAGCAGTTGATGTCATCTACTTGGACTTGTGCAAAGCATTCGACACTGTCCCACACGACATCCTTGTCTCTAAATTGGAGAGACATCAATTTGATGGATGGACCACTCGGTAGATACAGAACTGGCTGGATGGCCACACACAGAGTTGTGGTCAATGGCTCAATGTCCGGCTGGAGACCAGTAACGAGTGGTGTCCCTCAAGGGATCCGTGTTGGGAACGGTCTTGTTTAACATCTTTGTCGGTGATGTGGACAGTGGGATTGAGCGTGCCCTCAGCAAGTTTGCCGATGACACCAAGCTGTGTGTTTCGATTGATACCCTGGAGGGAAGGAATGCCATCCAGAGGGACCTTGACACGCTTGTGAGGTGGGCTGATGCCAACCTCATGAAGTTTAACCGTGACAGGTGCAAAGTCTGATACCTGGGTTGGGGCAACCCCAGGTACAGCCTGAGGCTGGGAAGAGAAGATATTCAGAGCAGCCCTGCGGAGAAGGAGGACTTGTGGGTGTTGATCAATGAGAAAGTGAACATGAGACAGCTTCAGTGTGCGCTTGCAGCCCAGAAAGCCAAATGTATCCTGGGCTGCATCAAAAGGAGCGTGACCAGCAGGTAGAAGGAGGTGATCCTGCCCCTCTACTCTACTCTTGTGAGACCTCACCTGAAGTATTGTGTGCACTTCTGGTGTCCTCAACATAAAAAGGACATGGAGCTGTTGGAACAAGTCCAGAGGAGGGCCATGAGGCTGATCAGGGGACTGGAGCACCTCCCGTATGAAGACAGGCTGAGAAAGTTGGGGCTGTTCAGCCTGGAGAAGAGAAGGCTGTGTGGAGACCTCATAGCAGCCTTCCAGTATCTGAAGGAGGCCTATAGGGATGCTGGGGAGGGACTCTTCGTTAGGGACTGTAGTGATAGTACAAGGGTTTATGGGTTAAAACTTAAACAGGGTAAGTTTAGATTAGATATAAGAAAAAGTTCTTTCCTGTGAGGGTGTTGAAGCACTGGAATGGGTTGCCCAGGGAAGTTTTGAGTGCTCCATCCCTGGTGGTGTTCAAGGGCAGGTTGGACAGAGCCCTGGTTGACATGGCTTAGTGTGAGGTGTCCCTGCCCATGGCAGGGGGATTGGAACTTGATGATCTCAGTGTCCTTTCCAACCCTAACTATTCTATGATTCTGTAGGACATAGGTTGAAAGCTAGGCTCTGAATTGAAATGTTGCACCATCAGTTTCTGTCTCTGCAGTAGATAGGGATGTGCTGTTTCTTTTATGATCATCTCAGTTGTTACTTTGTTTGAATAGCTGTACAGCGATCTTTCTAGTCATTTGTTTCTATGCTCACTTCCTGCATGACTACAGAAATAGTCGTTCTTGAGCAACTTAAAGGGTGCTAACAGCTTATGTATAGTAGGTATCAGTTTGGTAGGAGAACAGCTGCATTGAGTTAAAAATAAAAATCTTCAGCAGTTTGTATAGCAAGCAGTTTTGAAGTTTGTTGTCAGTGTTGTTCTCCTTTCTCTCTCTTGGTTCATGGTGGGCAGGTTTCTAGACTGACTCTGCAAGATCACAGAGTATTTTTAAAATTGTTATCATTTGGAGATATAGGTAGAGATCATTGGGGCTGTATGTAATGGGATTTCTGTTGTTCCAGTGAACTGTTTGCTAACAGTATATTTAATATGCTGTTCTTCAAATGCAGGACAAGTTTAGCGATTCAAAATATAATTAGAAAAAGTAGTTCTTTCCTTATCTGTGAGGGTGTTGAAGCACTGGAATGGGTTGCCCAGGGAAGTTTTGAGTGCTCCATCCCTGGTGGTGTTCAAGGGCAGGTTGGACAGAGCCCTGGTTGACATGGCTTACTGTGAGGTGTCCCTGTGTTAGTAACTTCATATTTTATTTTGTAAACTTTACAGGAATTAGAACATTTATTGGAAAAACACAGAATTCTAGAAATGGATTTCTTGAAGGAAAAAAAAGAAAAAGTAATTTCACATCAAGATCACTACAATATGCTCCAGGTAATTTATTTCTTGTAGTATATTTTTTTTTTTCAGGAGGATTTTGTATAGAGTATACTTGTATCTGACAAATACTCTTAAGTATCTACACATCTGCTCCAAAGACTTTTCTATTTAAAAAATTTCTAAGGTCTTTAAATCAGAGGCTGACTTTTGACATTAGTAGGAACATAGGTTTAACAGCCCGCTTGTAAGTACATTATTGTAACTCAAATCACTCATCTTTATTATGACCTATTTTGCATACCAGATGAAAAAAACACTGCACAGGAGATATGTGTTTAACAGTGTGACAGAGCATGTTCTAGTGTAGCTATGTTATATATAGGTAAAACTAGGCAGATATTTGTAAAGTATTACCTGAGTCAAATATGGAATAGTTTGTATTGCATAATAAAAACTGTAAAGTATAACTAGATGCTAGACAACGGAATTAAAACTGCTTCCATTACACACCCCAATGCTGTTCATAGAATACGTGTGTGAAGTCCCACATGCAAGACAGATTTTTCACTGAAGTTTCCTGTCTTCATCCAGTGTTATAGCAGGACAAAGTAAATACTATAGATTAACAATGTTTCAGAAGTTTCTTGCTGGTAATTCACCTTCACTTAATTTTGTTGCAGCAATGAATGGTTGGGGTTTTCTATGTAGCTACTCATTGTTTCCCATTTGTACTTAAGGCTTGCTATGATAATTTGCATTGAATTCCTGCCTGCTGTACTTCCTAGAATTTATGCTCATCTAATTTTTTTTCTTATGTGTGTAACATCCTACTCAGTGAAAGAAGTGTTTGCTTAGCTATGTTATAAAAATAAGTTTTGCTTAAAAACCTTGATTCATGAAATATTGTACTGGCTAAAGTTAATGATCATCATAAACTCTTGACAATAGATTTGATGGATATTATTTTTTACCACTTTCACAATGCTCTTCAAGTGGAAGTATTTAAGTAGTGGATATGTTACTGAGGCTTGCAAGGATCAGTCTGCCTGAATCATACCTCTTTGAGTCAGGTACTGCAGTGAATGGCAATGAAAACGTCATAACCTTGAACTTACTTTGTAGAAAAGCTCATGTGCTTCCTCTTGTCTTCTGGATATAGCCAGAATCAAGTCAGAGAAGAAAGTGAGTTGCCATTCACTTTCTTCTGTAATCTGAGTAAGCAGAGAAAAAGTGAGTCTTCTGAGAGCTGACAGTCAAAATTACTTTCATGAAATTTGAATATTAGATACCTTTTATTAGTACTGTTTTTCTGCAATTCCTAAGGCTTTGAAAAAGGAATGTTAAATAATGTGACTTAATGTGTTGATGCCTGATTTAATGTGCATGGATCCTTTTGATTTCTTCTTTTCCTCTTTTAGTATTTAACATTGTGTCCTAACTGCTACCTGCACCTCCATGTAGTTTCTTGTTTTCAGAATTTAATTCTTATAATATTTCATAATGTACCTTAAGAGCTTGTATTTTAGATTCAATGTCATAGTTATCTCGATATTAATTAAATAAATGGCTGAATAAGTAAATACTAGCTCTAGCTAGTTGTTACAAGCTGAACTTCCTATAATTAAAAATCTTGGAGAAGAGTTGGCATTACAGTTTTGCAATTCCAAGAACAAGAAGCAAGCTAACTAATTTTGTCTTGATGATGACAAAATTCAGTTTTGCAATGATGACATAAATTGTTCTGGAAGTAAGTAGGGATGTTAGTTACTGAGAAGGATAAAGCAGATTCGGAGAGCTGTGGTTCTGAGGACTGAAAGTTCAATAGTGTTCCAAGAAGGGGAAGAGTACAGCACTTAAAAGTGAATAGAAGGTACTAATACAGATTAAGGAGTGGAAATAATCATAGGTATCACCCTTCCCCACTATTCCCAATGTGATTTTGTCTAAGGGCTCATACTTCTTGTAAGGGATCTTGTTCTATAACAGTGATACCATATGGCACTGATCTGGACACAGAATGGATGGTGAGCATAAGGCACAGCTGATTATGAGTAAGGGGTAACTCTTCTGGTTTGAGCCTTTTCTAAGGAACCTCTTCCTTCCTAGCTCCCTGCATCTCCATTTCCCCACTAACCTTGCTTACCTAACAGATAAACTCAGCCCTTCTGTGCCTTCCATCTGTCTTCACCTTTTCCTTTCTTACAGTGCTGACTCCTGGGGAATACAATTTTGCCTGTAATATGGATACTTCCCAGCGTTTGAGAACACACTGGGATCTCTAACTTCCCCAGCTTCTGTTTTGTTGTTTGTACAGGAACACTGTCCATCTCTAGCCAGCACCAGATCTACAATGTGTGATCCATCAGCTGTCCATATTGTGAGAAGTCTCAGTGGCTGAAACCTGAGGACATGAGAGAAATGTGAAATGCACATCTTCCTTAGACAATAGGCCTGTTCATGTTGACAGTAGGGAGGTGTCAAAGTTTGCGTACTTGGAATGAGCACAGATGATCCTAGAGAGAAAGCTTCCTGTTTTGGAAGACCCCTGTATTGTGCTTTTAATATACATAAGCAACAACTTTGTATAAACATTCATTTTCAAAAGTAATTTCAAGAAGCAGTCTTGCAGTTGAATGTCTAGCAAAACAGCTCTTGGAAGCACTTGCAGTTGAAGTGACAGGGTGAAATGGTCATGTTTCCTAATACTAGTTAAACATATGGTTACTAAACTTTGTATCCTGTATTGGTAGATATAACTTTATCTGGAAGAAATGTTCCTGTGTGTTAGTACTTAAGTAAATACAGCATACCCCATATAAACAGCTATATCTTTAGTCTGCTTTGATAAAAAGCCCAATTTTTCTATTGGAGGAGGCAGATCTTGGGGGGAAAAATAACGAGTGGTGGAATAACATCCAAGAATTTGTCTTTTGCCATTATAATGAACCTTAAATAAAGTACAACATGAATAATCTTTCTTTCTTCAAACTGTAGTTCACCTTTGAAATAACCTTTGCAGCCAAAATGATACAAAATTAATCTCCATTCCAGAGAAGCTGATGAAACAAGGGCTGACAGATTTATTTCTAATTGCAAGTTAAGTATACCTTAATGTGTTTATTACCCCAAATCTGTGAACTTGGTAAGTGAAAGGAAGGAATAATTTATGCCTTTCTGAGATAATTCTCCCCCAACATCTCTATATAAATTTAAGGAAAAAATTACTTTTTTCCTTTACTGAAACTTCATAGTGCGCAAGAATGCTTATAGCAAAAAAAACCCACAACCTTATAGCTGTAGCTTGTTTTATGCTACAATTTCAATTTTTAAATAATTTCACCTTAACTTAAGACTGCGGAAGGAGGGTTGAAAGCCTGGACTCAAACATAGGTTGAGACAGATTTTTCTCTTCTTGAGCTGGCCCTGGAGATATAGGGATGACTGACATATCTGGATTGTGTAAACAGCAAAAATGCATAGTCTACATGCAAGGTTTTCCTAACTGCATCCCTACACACTTGGAGAGCAGCTCTGTGATCCTCCTGGGTCACCTGCTTTGGCTTCCACCTCCTGTACACTTCTTTATTGCCAGAGTTTAGTGAGGAGATTTTTTTCATTCATGCAGGATTCCTGCTGCATTTGTTTGATTTCCTGCTTGTCACTCTTGAGCTTGGCAGTGTTAATCCTTGAATAGCAATCAGCTTTTTTGGATCCCTCTTTCTAGGGATCACCTATGAGATTCTTCCAAGCAGACTCCCAAAGAGACTGGAGTCTCCTCATTGAGTCCAGCACTGTGATCCTGCTTTTTGCTCCAGTCCTTCCCTGTCCTGAACCCCACCATCTCACGATCAACAGAGCCAAGGCAGAATGCCACTGATCTTCACATTCCCAGACAGCCCTTTCATGTTTTTAAGTATCAGGTCCAACAGAGTGCCTCAGAGATTGCTCCTGCATGTGCTAGGACATTGTTGTCAGTGTGCCCCAGGAATCTCCTGGATTGCTCTATTGTTCCTCAAAAAGATACTGGGGTGGATAGCACCCCCCATGAGCACCAGGGCCTGCGAATGTGAGGCTTCTTCCTGTTGTCTGAAGATGGCCTCATCTACATCACCTTCCTGTAGACCATATGGTCTACAGTCGGCAGACGCAACGATGTCCTCTGTGCTGGTCTGCTTGTTAATCCTGAGCTGTAGGTTCTTTACTGATCACCTACCCCAAAGCAGAGCTCCATGTATTCCAAATCCTCTCTCACATAAATTGCAGCACCTTGTCATTGCCTTCCTGGCCTTTCCTTCCAGAAGAGTGCATTTATATTCTAGAAAAGGTGTGCTACAAAAGATTGAAAACGGGTCTTGGAGGTAGGTGCTTTTTGTGGCTGCAGTACTAGAACATGTATGTTTTCTTGCAAAACTAATATATGACTTACATCCTGTTAAATCTTCTAAGAAAATATTTAGGTTGGTTTTAGATGCAGACATAGAGGAGACAGAATGCTAATAACGAAAAATAGGTGTGAAAAAAAGTTACCTACAGTACCTGCAACTAAATTTATAAATGAATTTCCCGAAAAACTTCACAGGTCAGGGTTTAAAATTATGGAACACTGAAAATAGGGGATTTCAGGAAAGGCACTTTCACAGATAGCAATGCATCTTTTTGCTGAATTAAAGACATTTATGGATGTGTCAACAGTCCCTTGCCCGCCTCTTTTTCAAGTATGTGCCAGATACCTCACGTTGATTTCTTCACCTTTTAAATATTTTTTAATGTTACTCTATGTATTCTTCTTTCAGACACTCCTTCTTATTCAAGTCTCTATTTTATTAATAATTTCACAGCTGTTTATCTATTTGCCTATTTTTCCCCCAGTTTTGATGTCAAATTTTCTCTAAATTATTTTTCCACAGTATGAGGAAAAATAACTTTTTTTTTTTCTAAGGAAAAAAGAAAAAGAAGAAAAAGATCGTGGTCCTTTGCATTTATGTTTTCTTCTTAAAATCTTTTTTAATGAATTTATTGTCTTTTTTCAGAATGATTGATTAGAAGATTAAGTA